CAAAATTGTTTAGTTTTCTGAAACAATTATTTAAATATAAATTTTATCATTAATAGACCAAAACTCATCAAGTTATCTATATTTTTTCTTTGAACATTTATCTAAACTCTTTTTTGAAATTCTATTAGTTAATTTTGGAAAATTTACTAGGCTGCTCTGAAAATTTCACTTTTTACCAATTTTAAAAATACTCAAACATCTAATATTTTTTAAATTTTCTTAAAAGAACCTAAGAAATTTATTGACTTTCTGAAAAATTTATCAACATTTTCAAAAAAATTAATTTTTTATGCAATTCTTATTTTTTTTATCTGCTTTTTCTTATGATTTATATTATAACACATTTTGTCTATATTATAAACTACTTAAAAAGTCTTTTTTATATCTTTGTTTTAAACTATTTATAACTTAAAACATTTTATTATTCTTATTATTATTTATAATTCTAAAATAAATCTACAAACTACAAAGTCAAAAGTTCTTCATATAAGTGAACCACTTTAAAAACTTAGTGGCCATGGCATATTTTTATTGGCATTGGTTGGGATTATTGGTAGGCAGAGGTAGATGGATAGATACAGGAATTAGAATATTTAAATAGAAAACTTACAAAAAGGTTCCAGATATAACAGCTAATGTAGAACCTTCAGGCAGACTTTTTAAATTAGACAATAACTAAAGTTGTATGAATGGCTAGTTGTATAGACTTTCTATAATTGTTTCTGTAGTTGTAATGCAACTATTAGCCAAATATGCTATTAATAAAATTCTGGGTCACAAGTACTTACCTTAATATTTAAAAAAAATAAATTTACAAACTACAAACTAATAAGATTATTTTTTAGACTAGTTCAAAAGCCATCTTATTTCAAAAAACTCTTTTTTATCTATACTTATAACATTTAAAATTTAAACTTTAAATTTCTTAAAGCCATTTCTCAAAAATTTCTACTCTGGTTCAATTATCAATTTTATAACAATTAATAAACCAACTGTAAAAACAATTTTAGTTTATTAATTCAAATTATAGTAATTAAAAAACTTAAATTTATTATGAATATAATTTTAAACAAAAATTCACATATTATTAAAGCAAACAAAATACTCTTTATAATACTTTTTAGTATAACAAAAAACCAATTTACCAAATTTATCTATACTCTTTTTTATAAAACAAACTACAAACAAATCTTTACTTCACACTATTTTATCTCTCTTTACTTAATTAAAAAATAATTTTAAATTGCTATAAATCTTGCCAAACTTTATTTATTTTTATATAACAAATACCAAATCATTGATTATCAAAAATTTTCTTATGACTTACAACATAATTTTTTTTTTACTTCTCTTTATTATCCTGAAGGTTCCTAGATATCTTTAGGATCTGTTACATCTCTTAAAGATCAAAGTTATTATTTTGTGAAGATTATTAGATGGCATATAGCTTCTACATGTCACCAAACTTATAAGATAACTTATACTTCATTAAGTCCATTATATGATGTTCTGGATTTCTGGCCCTATAGTATAAAACCTATTATTCTTTTTGGTTTACAGTTTTCTAACTTTATATAACCTACTAGCCAGATTATCTGTATATTTCAAAGTTCTTAATTCTACTGTTATGTATTTCTCAATCAGACTCTTTTAATGTTAGCATTATTTATTGACAGATTACACCTTATCTGATTATCTCCAACCTTGTAACTATGCTAGTGACTAATTCTTTTTATATAAATCTTGTTTTTGCTTTTAAATAGAAGTTCTCTGCGGATTTTTTTCAATTATGGTCTTGGCAGAGTTGTTGTCACCCTTTGAACTTAAACTCATAACCTTGTAATTAAAACCTAGAAGTGCTAACCACTGCACTATTGACCTATGGGTCATGACTTACAATTTAAATACATCTATTTAAAAACCTTTATTTATATAAATCATATTTCAAATACTTTAAAAAGCAATATTCTATTTTACAAATTTATAATATCTTTAAATTTATATTAATATTACTATAAATATTATTCTAAGGTTGGGTTCTATAGCTTAGTTGTTAAGCTCCTATCTTCTTTCTGACAAGATTAACAGTTCGAGTCTAGCTAGAGGTAAATATTTTATAACCAAAAATAAAGCCTATAATCAGATGTGAAGCTTTGTAGAAGTTCAAGTAAAGGTACATATTTGATCTAAAGAATTTTTAAAAAGAAACCAGTATAGCAGAGTGTGGGCACTACTATAGTAAGAAATATAGAAAATATCATCAATGTTTGTAGAAAGGATTGGCTTTACCTAGAATAAAATCAGCTTTGGCATTATAAATCCAAATAGGTGTAGTTGTGAAATCTACTTTTATTTAGTAAAGTTTGTATTTAGGGCAAAGTAGCTCTAAGGTTTGTTATTAAAAAATTAAGTTGATACTATAAAAAAAATATTAAAAATCAAAGACTTTAAATAGGAAACCCACAAGTGGGTTTTAGGTATAACAATTAGTAAATAACCTGTAGATAGAACCTTTAAATAAACAATAACTAAAGTTGTATAAGTGGCTAATTGTAGCCTCATTAATATGCAAAATGTAATACTTCTCTACAATATTTGTAGTCTGTAAATTTTAATAAAAGATTATAAGTTATAGATGTCACTTTTTAAATTTAAAAAAAAAAATATTATTCTTCAAGAATTTATTACAAACTATAATATTCTATCTTTTTACTTATTTAAACTATAATTTAATACATGGTTTCAAAAATTTTTTATATTGTATCAGGTAAATAGTAAGTTTGTTGCTTTAATGTACAAGACTTTACATAATGATACTAATATAGCAAAACAAAACTTCAAGATATAGAATAGATTTGATGAGTGTTTTATTTATTTCACTATCTGTTTGTACTTTAGTTTTTATGTTTATTAATAACTTAACTAACTACTACTATCTACTATTAAAGGAATTTTTAATCACTTATTCCCTAATTAGAATATCTAAAATATAAGTTTTTATTAAAAATTCTTTTTGCTTTTATACAATTTCATTAGTACTAACTAATGCTATTTGTTTGAGATCCTATTCTTATTTTTCTTATCATTCTACTACTAAATGATTATAGATTTTACTTGATTGGATAAGTATTATATTTTTAAGTTGTTTTATTTTTACTTTATTTTATTACAACTATACTAACCTGTTCTCTTAATATTTGGATCTTACTACTCTAAAACATTACTGTCATAGTCATAATACCTTCCCCAAATTGGACACATTCATTTTGTATCAATTGTCTTAATATTGGGTTACAATTATGCATGTTTCACTATTTGTAGAGTTGATTATGCATATTTGATCCTGGGTCCTGATTGGTGCTTGTGTGATGTATTATAATGCATAAGCTATCATGAATTTTTTACTTGTAACAATATACTACAAAAAACAATTTATTAATATCAATGAACAAAAAAGTTTACAACTATATCAAATACTAAATAATAATAGCAACTAATAATAAATATAAGACATAGATTCTAGCATCTACTTTACAGCATAACTCTAGTACTTTAGTATATTTTTGCCTTTTTATTTATCTTTTTACCTACCTTTTTACCAAATTCTCAATTCAGATAGGCATATAGAACTATAACTAGTCTATTGTTATATCAGGTCAGCCTGGTATCTTTTTTCTTTAGTTTATTTTAGTAGCCTGTTTGGTAGTATTTCTGAACTCTTAACTTAGAGGTTCTTGTCTATTCAGCTACTATGACTGAATACTATAACCTTGGTATCTGTTTCTCTAAGTTAGCTTTTACAGTAAGATCATCAAAGATCCAGCTATCTCTCTATTTGGGTTTCCAAATAGACTTCTTGTTATTCAATTTTAACAGATTTACATAGCTATAAGAACTTATCTAATGTTTGCATTACCTGATTTGTTGATTTGCATTTCTCTGTATAACTTCAATATTGCACAGATGCCTCATAACCTGCTAGTTATACTGGTGTGACTGCTATTACAGGTATTCTAACCCAATCATTAGTAACAGTTGCTGTAATATAAATATTATATAGGTGATTATCCAAATTTTTACTGTTAATAGGATTTGAATACCCAATTTAACACTTGGAAATTAACAATCTGACTACTTTACTAGGTCATTACATCTTTTTAAAAAAATTATTATTATAAAAGAAAAGATTAATTTTATTAAAGATTTTTGTTTTAGTAATACTAACAATAGATATGTCATTATTAAGACAATAGTTTATCAGATTTTTTTTTGTTAGTTTATTAAAGTCTCTAATATTGTATATAAAAATAATTAATTTGAAATAATAATAACTTAAATCAAAAAAGAATAAAGAAGAGTTACAATTAAAAAAAATTAAAAATAATTATTAAAAAATAGATTAAATAAAATAAAGATAGAATTAAAAGAATTAAATCTAAAAAAAAGATTATAAAATATGAAGAGAAGATAAAAAGAAATAATAATATAATTAAGTAAAAGAGAGTTATTAGTAAGATATACTGTATGTAAGTTTTATAATAAGATAAGTTAATAAAAAATATAAGGGTAATTCTATTTTTACCCGAGTTATTTTCATCTATCATGTGACACCAGCTACTGTGGTTTGTAAATATCGTAAAAAATCATTTTGCATTTTAGTCACCTAACCACTATTTAGGTAACCTATATCATGTGATCTATGGTAGTACAATAATTTTATACTGTAGGATATATGATTCATAATATACAACCATCAATTTTTTCTTTTTGCTAAGGTAGAAATACTACTTTTCACTTAGATAGAACCAAAATATAATGATAACAATTAGGTTGTACAGGATCGGATTTTTGTAAGTTCATCCTTATTTGACTATATAGTATCCTGATTGATATACAAAAATCACGAACTATAATCTATATATATGTTGTGCCTCAAACTAACACCTGCCTCAGATCACAGCTGATGCATCTCAGATGCAGATCTCCAGGTAAGATGTATAATGTCATCCAAGCCATGTCTGATGAAAAAGTAAATAAATTAAATAAGAACTTTTACTTAGAACTCTTATTCTTGGTTTCTTCACCATTTTCTCACTGGTAGCATTCTTTACTTAAATCACTTTAATGCCTTTCTTAACTCTAATAGTATTCTATATTTTGAATCACTTTGGAATTGTATTGCCTCTAATAGCATTCTTGAATCTCTAGTATTTAAACCAAAAGTAGCATTATTTTATATTAAATCTGTCTCTTCAGCATCTTCATTCTTTTTGAATTTCTTTGTTGGCACATTCTATTTCCAATTAATCTCCTATACAACTAGTTTTTTTTTTGTCTAAATTTTTGTGGCATATTCTTTCCAAGTTTTTTCAGCATGTTCAATCTTCAATAATTTCTATATATATAATTTTTTTTTGTGCTTATTGACTGATCAATAGATTATGCACCTCACTTAACAATTTACATCTAAGGTGTGTCAGTTGTGATCTGAGGCAGGTGTTAGTCTGAGACACAACATATATATATATATTATAATTTTCAATACAAAACTATTGCTATGTTTTAATTAGTACAAAGCTTAAAATATAAGCAGTTTTTCAACTAAATATGAAGCATAACATTTTGTTATATAAGTCAAATGATGTACAAAAATGGCTTGCATTTACTAACTTAAACTCCAAGTTTATTATATATTACTAAACTTGGTAATCTGACTAGTTAATTTAAAGATTATAGTATATGTGAGGTTCTGATGCATAGTATTTCTTAAACTTCAATTCAAATTTAAATATACTATAGGTAAATTTTCTAAAAAATAATTCAATAAATATTCACAAATTTAGCTCTTAAATATTATTAATTATATTTAATATGTCATCATATACAAAATTATATAAATTGAATTATTTAAGCATATACTGCATATTTGTAAAAATGAATCTTGAGTGATCGCTTACTTTAAATGATACTGTTTTGAACATTGATATTAAAAATAATCATGACACAACCTTTGATTCTTTTAACATTGACAATGATTTTAACAGTAATGACAACAAAGCTCTTGACAGTGATTTTAATGATATTCTTGGTAGAAGTCTTAGTGATATTTTTGACAAAGACTTTAACAACAACCATATATTATATGAAATAACTCTAGTTAGTAATAATTCAGCCACATTAACAGTTGGTCAAACTTTTGCTGAATGGTGTGATGTTGAGCAATATGTTAATGCCTATGCAATAAAGCAAGGCTTTGCAACCAGATTAAATCACACAGAAAAAAACTAGGCTTTCTTACCAGAGCAGAAATCATCTGTCATCATGCAGAAACCCCAAGTAACAAAAGTACTGAATTACAAACAACAAAAAGTGTTGCAATTGATTGTCTATGGAAGATAGTAGTTCGCTAGACCAAAGTAAAATATTATATAAAATCTGTTAATCTTGAACACAATCATCCTATGGACACTGCTGCTGTTGTGTTTGATCCTGGGCATCGTAAGTTAAGCAATAATAAAAATATGTATATACAAATGCTTTATAATGGAGGTGTGCCAGTTTCAACAATTGTCAATATGTTAACTGAGAAATATAGTAGATATGTTTATAACAAGGATATATACAACACATTGAGTCATCATTCTTGTGATTATGTAAAGGGGTTGTCACAAACTGCAGAACTGTTAAAAGGTTTAAATGACAACAATAAGTATATGTTTACTTATTCAGTTAACAATAATAGGCTTCATTGCTTATTTTTTACTACACATTCTGCAGTTGCAAAATTTAAACAGTATCCTGAGGTTTTATTAATAGATGCTATATACAAAACAAATCTCTTTGGTATGCCACTTTTACTTATTAGTGGTATTGATGCCATGAATATTACTTTTCTTATTGCAAGTAGACTTCTTACTAATGAAACTATACCAAGCTATTGTTGAATATTTCAGCAATTAAAACAATTAATTGGTAATACAACTTTTTATAGTATTCAAACACTTTTAACTAATAGGGAGCATGCACTAATCTCTGTAGTTCAAACTAAGGCACCACATATTAAACATTAATTATGCATTTGGCATGTTGAACAAAACATTATAAGGAATTTAAATCATAAACTTAAAGAACGATTTATCTCATTTATTAAAGATTTTAAGATGGTAATGTTTGAGTTTATTGAAAATCGATTCAAAGTTTTATAGAATCATTTGTTAGCAGAATATCCAGAAGCTAACAGCTATATGACAGATTAGTGGAAGCCTCTTGCTCAAATGTGGGCATGTTGTTATACCAACAAGAATATCAATTATGGAATACAAACAACACAATGATCAGAAGCTAGCAATGCATATCTAAAGTGCTTATTAGGTCATACAATACCCTTACCTGAATTAATAAATGCATTAGAGAAATTATCTTGTTACTAGTTACAAATTCTTAATATCAACAGTATTGCTTACATGGAACTATTCATCAATAATGTCCAGAATTGCTAAAAAATATTTCAATAATTGTGTCTGACTTTGTGTACTCCTTGATATTAGAGCAATATAATAAGGCTATGTCTTATAATGTTGAAAGACAAGATGCTAATTTATTTCATGTCTATCATGATGAAGACTAAAAATATAATGTATATCAGACTGATACTAGATATATTTGTTGCTGTGATTATAGCACACCATTTTCTTTACCATGTCATCATATTCTTTCTGTTCATATTGTTAATAAAAAGGTTATAAGTGTTGGCTATATTGGTGCTTATTGGGTTGTCTTACTAGCTAAACTCGATACTTATATGTTTTAATCTGAAGAAAATAACTTCACTGAATTTACAACCAGTTTCTCCTCTACTGATTTCAGCAATAAGCACTTAAATAATTTTTTAACTACTGTGAGCCCGATTTTTGGGGTTACAAGTGCCCAAATCGGGGTGACGATCCTTACCCAATCCAAGGTCACATGAAAAGTAACAGAAATGGCACTTATAGTACTTACGGCACTTATATCACTTCTGCTACTTCAGCCATATATGCGATAAATGGCATATCGGCCTCTTATGACATTTAGAGAATATATGAAGTATCTGGCATTTAGAGCATAAATTGATTACAAATGTAAATAAAATGTTTATTATAAATAAAGGGCATTTCTGCCCCCGGGAATAAAAAGTAGTTCCTTATACAAATAAAACTTCCAATATAAATAAATAACTGATCTATAATAAAAGTATAAGTGCAATATAAACTAATAAATCATCATTAATCCCACTGTTGCCCATATCGTTCACTCATTTATAAACCACTAACCCGCCAATTAACGACTCGCCGCAAGTCACATGACAAGACTGTTAATGAAATTGAAGAAGTTCCAACCATGATTCGACGTAGTATAATCCCGGGTTGAGGAAGGTAAAGAGAAGATAAAGAGAAGACAAGAGAAGACAGAGAGTTAGTAGAAGAATCATTTAAAGGAAAGACATAGAGAAGAGATGAGTACTTACCTATGAATAAACCACCTGTCAAATCTAACACGCCTATTTCGACTTAGCTGCTGTAGGTTACACAAGGGTTGGATTAGTTTAGCGACAGACTCGCTGATTTCCAGAATCACACTACTATTAATTATGGTATCTATAACATGTCTGTTGAACAAATACCTACTAGAAGTACTATAGAATTGCTTAAGGACATTGAGGCAATTGCTGATAGAGTAGGTCACATAAAAATCAATAATATGTTGGCATCTTTTGTGGAACAGTTAAATACTGAATATCCTTTATTACAAGAGACATAAAAAATCCTGTTCTTGTGAAAACAAAGGAAAGACCAAATAGCACTAAATGTAAAAAAACAGGTGCTGAGCATGCTACTAAAAAAATGTATATGTGTAGTATTTGTAGCAGTGCAGGACATAATTCTAGGAGTTGTCTATGCAAGTAACTAGTTTTTTTAAATCTTATACTCACACATACTGTTTAAGTTTTTTAATACTTGTTTAGCAAATAATTAGGTTTTTTTCTTTTTTTTTGCATAAGCAAAAATCTCAAATTAACCTAAGGCAATATTTTTGCATTATTGAATATTCCAGTTAAGATTAGCATTAGAATTAGACCTTAGTTTATAACAAATAAAATTTCATAGATTGAATAATAAATTTGCGAATGACTTTATAAACAAAGTCTTAAAACAAAACTGTTTTTTTTTTAAACAAAAACTCTCAAAATTTTAGTGTGCCTGAAATCAGAATACGTATATAAAAATAGCTTCATATGTATGTATATATATATGTATATATACATATATATTACATATATATATATGTATATGTATATTAAATTAACCAGAAACACAAACCAGATACAAATCAATAAGTTAATTACCAGTATTATGTATAGATTACTTGTTGAAAAAACCTATTTGTATATAAAACTAGTTTTTTTAGTTGAAACTATTAAATTCTATTTGAACCAATGGTAATTTTAATATGTGCATATGTATAGTGTCAGAAATTTAAAAGCCTCAATTTCTTTATATAGACAGCATATTAAAAATCAAGTTTTTAAACTATTTATCTTAATAACAATCCTTTATAAGTATAGAATTATGCACCAAAAATATGTATATATATATATATTTAATAGCAACTATTTTATGCATACTGTTAAATTTAAAATAAGCCACTGCTGAATCTCCAATATGCTGTCTATATAAAGTGATTGTAGTCTTAGATTTCTTTACCATATATACATATGTAGCTAAATAATTGTTGTTTAAAGTTAATGCATTTAAAAATAGATATACTCAAAGGTAACTTAAAACATAAATACAGAAACTTTAAATATATTTTTTTATGTGTTAAGAGAAATTAGCATTATAGGACTGAGTAAACTTTTATGTATTACTTAGTCAAGTAGGTAAATTTAAAATTTACACATTCGATTAAAAGTTTGCATTCAGTATACTGATGAAGATGATGCATTTGTATTACAAATATTCAAGAAATTTCTATGTGAAACTACCTATGTGACACAATTTTTTAAGCAATGTGAAGTAAAATTTAAAGTAAAAATATCTCATCTTATAATCAGGTTTAAGATAGAAGATCTAAGTATACCAAAATTTCAAATTGCAATTTTTGAAGAGTTTTTTTAAAAATTTCAGATCATAGATCATGTGATATAGGTTACCTAAATAGTGGTCACATGATTAAAATGCAAAATAATTTTTTACGATATTTACAAGCCACAGTGGCTGGTGTCACATGATAGGTGAAAATAACCCAGGTGAAAATAGAATTACTCAAAATATAATACTAGATACAGTTTTATTATTGTTATATTTGTCAATATGTTAGATTAAAGTTTAAATAATTTGACTATAAAAAAGAAGTGATAAATTGTAATAAATAAGAAATTTATTAAAACATATATAAAAATCATAATGAATTAAAAATATTGAAAATAATCTTGTAAGATTGTCTTCTATAGGATCAATCATTATATGCTTGGTTCTTATAACTGTATAAGATATTATAATCTGTTTTGTACATTGGATCTAACTATAAATTAAATTTGTATTACAAATACATATTAAAATTATAAATAACAATATATGTTATAAATATGAAATATATTTTTAGAGTTATAAAATTAAATAAACAATATGCAAGTATGTAATTTTAATGTTATATTTGACATTTTTGATTATTTTATTATCTTATTTCTTTTTACATTATTCAATTAAAGAAATTATATATTTATTTACAAAAACAAGATCTGTAAATTGATTTTTTATATTATTAAATAATAATTTTTTAAATATATATTGACTTTTTTATATATTATGCAATTAAATAAATTATACATTTAATAATAGTGTCATTCAGATTTTGATGAGTCTGTTACTAATCCAATCTAACTCTCATATAACCTATAGTGATTAAATTAAAATAAATATATTAGATTTGACTGGCAATTTATCTATAAGTAAATACTAATCTTCTTTTCAAGTCTTTTCTTCAACCTATTCTTCTAATAACTTTTGCTTCCTCTTGTCTTTTTTTTATTGCCTTAACCCAAAATTACTCTATGTTGAATCAGGTTGGAACTTTTACATTAACAGTCTTATTACATGATTTATAATAAATAATCAACTTGCAGTTTTAGTTATTAATAAATGAATGATAAGGATAACAACAAAATTAACAATAGTTTACTAGTTGGATGAGATATTACTTTCATATTTATTAGGGATTGAATATGTATTGTTATTAAGGAATTTGTTGACATATGGGACAGTTCCTTTCTCTCAAGGCAAAAATGCTCTTTATTTATAATAAATATTTTATTTTACATTTGTAATTAATTTCTTTCATAAATGCAATATATTCCTTATGCTCTATATCTTAAATAAATCTAATAAAAGGCCGATATTTCATTTAACGAATATGCGTCCGAAGTAACAGAAGTAGCATAAGCGACATAAATAACATTTCCATTACTTTTCGCGTGACCTTGGATCAGGTAAGGATCGTCGCTTCGATTCGGGAACTGGTGATCCCAAAAATCGGGCCCACAATAGGAACAAGGTTCGTGAGCAGATTTATGTATTTAGATGATTAGACAGTATGAATTAGGCAGTACCAACTGTATTTATTTTTTTAATGAACTATAGTTTAAAATAAATAAAAAAGTATGGAGCGACAGTTTGAATGATTTTTTTTCTATGTAATTTAAATAAAAAAATATAAATCAGTATTTTTAAATCATATATTTTTTAAAAAAAATGTAGAGTCTAAATAAAAAAATATAAGGCGATAGTTTAAATATTTTAACTTTATAAAATCAAAACCATATATCACGTGATCATGTGATGCCCACCTATACTATCCAAGACCTGTAATGCTACCTAATAATCCTTGGAATTCTATTGGATTATAAATAGGTCCAATACCCTGATCGTTGAGTTCATCAAAAGAAGCATAATTACTATATAAAAAACCAGTGTTGGTATTTTGATCATAATTCATTATTAAAGGAGCTCCACTTGCACCCTCTCCTAAGTTTAAATCATGCATGATATAAAAATCAGGTGCCAAAAATGCTTCTCCTCTCCATGTACAAAGAGTTTTCCCATTATTTGGACAACCTTGAAGAACACCTCCTTCTGGATAACCGCGAATAGTTGTTTGAACACGATCACCTACATCGAATAACTTTACAGTGAGAGATCCCGTAAAATATTGTAATGGATGACCATCTCTGTTAAATGTAAACCTTATCAAGCCCCAATCAAACTCATCATTATTATTGGTAATAAATTCCCTTGGTACTATCATATCTTCGACAGGAATGCTTCCAAGTGGACCATTTTGTCCATTGTCATATCCGGGAGAAAACGTTATATTATTATGATATTCATTATTTTCGGGATCATAAAGACAATGCGCTGCAGTAAGACCAACATTTCCATGTTCGGGAACATTGATTACACTGGCGGTACAAAGACCTAGTTCTCCATCACGATCATGAGCGAATAACATTCCTATGGGAAAAACTGGAACTTGTCTGTTTGTTAATGGCTTGACTTTTTTTGTGGTTTTTGGTGTCCGAAAATCAAGATTCACATTATCATTATATTTAGAAATCGCTGAATAACTTGAATCGATTTTAAGGGTTAGGACAACCAATGCAATTAAGAAATAAAATATAATTTTTTTGTCCATTTTTTATTGATTCAGACGTAAGTAAATAAATAAATAATATATTGGAGGATTAATTTTTGAAAAAATCTATAATATTAGAAGTTAATTGACGATGGTGTTTGTCAATGTATTATCGTTAGTGCCTAATTTATACATTTTTGAAAAACATATTTTCGAAATTAAACATGTCAACACTAAACAATTTATTTTCATTTTTTAGTTGATTATAACTAACGCTAACCAATCTCATAAATTTGCAACTAAAAAGGGTAAGGTGTACGTAAATAATTTTTAATAGTTACATGATTTCATATATAATTAATTAAGAGTCACCTGGGCATCAAATATAATATCCAGATCAGTTTTTTATCAATGCCGAATATGAACCAATTAGCAAAATCAAAATACAACACATGTTATTACGTCTAATATCACCTTAGAATAGTAATCACTTAAATCATGACTTATGCTGGATATGAATCCGGTTACATATATCCAATAAATGAATCGGATATTATTCCAAATATTTTTCTAAATTCTATTTTCATTATATAAAACATACAATAAATAGTCTCTGTTTAGACCAAATCGACGCAAATAAGAAATAGTAAGAAGTAAAGAGCTTATCTTTAAACCAAATTTAACGTGAATAAAAAGTAATTATTTTAAGTACTTTGATTGATAAGTATACATTATTCGGCAGACGACAAAAAATCGCCTGTTATTTGTCGTACGTATGCCGAATAATGATGTTATTGGATAGTTAATATGACCATGTGAAGTTTTTTCTGTGATGTTTTGCAAAACTGATTACGTAATTTCATGCAAAAAATATCATGGCAAAAAAATTCACATGATCATATGAAATGTCGAATAAATGATCGTTATATTCACGGAACGAATAAACACGAATAAGAAATTAAAAGAAAGATGAATAGCCTATCTTGAGTGCATCGATTGATAAATAATTACTATATTCACAAGCTAAACAAATACAATAATTAAAATTAGATGAATCATGGATAGGTAGAATAGTGGTGGCAAAAAAAATTCGCAACTACGCCATTGCCAACCTTTCCGGAAGACTTATAACGAATTTATATTAACTGTTATATAATAACGATAATCAGCATTAATTATACAAATATATGATATAATGCTTCCGATGGGATCGAAAGGTTGGCGATGACGTAGTCGTGAATTTTTTTGCCACCATTCTACTTAATCATGGATAGCTTAGATAACCATGGTATTTAACCTAAAATTCCATTATATAAGTGTGGAATGATTTCACCCTCACACACTTATATAATAATAATCAACAATAAATGTCAGAGATGTTGGATGATCGTATATGATTGGTTAGGGTTTGGGTGATTAACAGATGGGCTTTTTAATTTCACGACCGACAATAAATTAAATAAGAAATGAACTAATTTCGGGCCGGAATTAACTTTAACTTTTTTATTCCAAGAATAGAAAATTCCAAAGAAATAGGCATGCACTATGGTAAAATTAGCCCAGGAACAATTTTCGCTTAATGGGTGGCTGTGATTTATTGGTAAAATTTTGAGTAATTCCGGCCAAATTTTTTGGCAGCTAGGGTTAATGATTTACTTATTTGTGCCGGTAATACAACCCAAAAAAGGAAATTTGATTTTGTAAATGAGTGCTGCAGAATGAAAACCTGGAAATGAATAGTTAAATTTTTATTGTAGCGAACTTAACCTCTTATGATATTACGTATTAGTATTGAGGATCTGTGTTTGATTTTTTTCGTCTCCACCAGGATTCTAGACTCTAGATTCTGGTGGGGATGAAAAAATCAAATGCAGATCATATATGTTTTCATTCTGCAGCACTCAAATAAACAAAGTGCGTAAAAACACAATTTAGGGTTAGAGCGTTAACACCGGAGGTTATAGCCATAGACTATTTCACATTATACGTAAAATTCACTGATTGACTATTTCTTTTTAGGAGTTTCGGTAATCCGGAGGTACGTTACACGAGCATATATAGGCTAGGTGCTATAGAAAAAGGGGGAAATTATAAATTTTGAAGAGAAACTTTTATTAATAAAACTACTTTTGCGTTTTAAGTAAAATATAATATGATTGTAGTTTAAATTAACTTATATAAAAAAATTGATTTGAAAAAATTTGGCAATGTCACCCTTTTCTGCAGCACCTAGCCCATATGTTTATAATTTTGGTTTGCTCATCCTTGCCATATGGGAGCTTGTCAATAGAAAAGAAACAAAAAGTTTTTAGCTAGTTTTTTTTTAATTTTAGATTAAAATAGTTTAATAACTACTGTATCAAATTTAATAAAAATTTTTTTATTTTAATTTTATAACTATATAAAAAAAAATCATTAAATTTAGTTTAATAGTTGTTGAAATATTATAATTTAAAATTCAAAAACCTTTATTTAGAAAAAATCACTTCCTTTTCTAATACTATCCGTATTACTGAATGATATAGATGATCAGATTAGTATGGTATAGTTTTAAAATAGGTATTTACATCCTCTTACCATATAATTTGGTCATTCTGTAATTTCTAAATACTTATTTTGAAAACCATTCCGTACGATCTGCTGATCACCAGTAAATGACATAAAAATATTCACATTTATGACCATCACTGACCTTTTATACTCCTTGAAGGATAATCAGATTTACTCTCATATAGCGATCAACTAGTTAAATTCTGAGATTTCAGTCTATTCGGTGATGTAACGAATAAATTTTTTTCCCCGTGGTTCTCACTTCCGTATTTGTCTAATTCATTAAGTTATCACATACCTTCCATAAATGTATCGTCGTAACCATATTAATCTTACCTTTATAATATCAGGCATTCTTATGTCTTTTTAGTGGCTTAACCCATATGAATTTCCTCTAGTCGCGTATACGCGATATTTGGAACGTATACGCACTCGCATAAACTTGATAGAATGAGTTGCCTGTGAGAAAATATGTGTGATTCAGAGTTATAACAGAGATGCTATATGCTTAGCATGAATTTATTTAAAGGGTTGCTCTTGCCCTTAGCTCAAGAGGGAAGAATGCTCTCTGAAATCGTTTCTACATAAACCTACATTCTTTTATAATAAATACTTATTAATAATGTAAAATCCGAGTTCTTTAATTTGTCATTATGCACCGCATCGCTCTTACGTCAACCATCGGAGTTAAACTCAGCAAGGTTGTCGGAAGCTCTCCCATTCGATGGTGATACTGGTTCGTGTTGATTTCTTTGGTTTGATTGGATAACCAACAAATTTAGTCACACGATAGGAAAAATCGATCAGTTACAACAACTAATCGATTGGAAAAATTTTTACCAACTCAGAACACTACTCTCATAGCCATGAAACTCAGATTTTTAACGTTAAAATAAATTGGTAATTCGAAATATTAAGAATGTAAGTTGTACGTACAGGACTATAGTTGGCGGTAGAATTCATTTAACAAATTAATACGGTTACGGCGTGTGCCGTATTATTTTCCGTAATTTCTT